TTGCCTAGCATGCATGAAGCTCTGGGTTCAATTCCTCAATACCTATAAACAGAGTAAGCCAGAAGTGGCTCAAGTGGTAGAGTGCTAGCCTTGAGCAAAAGCAGCTCAGGGACAGGTTTTTCTGAGTGCAAAAATGACTTAACAGGAAAACCTATAAAAACATAGAACAGTGTAACACCCTGCAAACAACACAAAGACCTGTTTACTCCTACTGAATCACTGCCCACCAATTCACTTTTAATCATGTCTCACTAACTTGGCTCAGGCTGGCCTCCAATTCCAGATCCTTCTGCTTCCATTTTCCAGTGCTGGGATTACAGAGGAGTATCACCACGCCCAGCAAAAGGCATTGGTCAGCCCTTGTGTAACCAGCCTCCCTGGCTTTCCTCTGGGCCACAGGGATGTATTTTCTTTTTTATTCTCTTTTTTTTTTGGGGGGGGGGGTCGGCCGTTTTTTTGGGGGGGGGGGTCAGGTCATGGGCCTGAACTCTTCACTTCAAGGCTAGAGCTCTACCACTTGAGCCACAGCGCCACTTCAAGCTTTTTTTTTTCTGCTTATGTGGTGCTGAGGAATTGAACCCAGGGCCTCATGCATGCAATGCAAGCACTCTACCACTGAGCCACCTTCCCAGCCCCAGGGATGTATTTTCTTTCGTTGGCTTTTATAAATTGCGCCAGGATACCGCCAGAAATATCTCCACACACCTTCCAACACTGTGCCCTGAGTTGTCTGTTTTTCCATTGCGTCTCTCCATGAATCTAGCCTAGTGCCGCCTTTGAATAAATATATATTACAGTGATGTCATCCTCAGATCAAGACAGCATATAAAATGGGTCCAGGTACGGTGTGAGGCTCTGCCAGAAAGAGATTCCACCGCCACCATGCTACTCGCTTGCTTGCATGCAAATTTTTTACACTTAATTTACTGGAATCCAGAACTTTCACAGAAGGTTAAATGCACGTATATTCTCCTGGAACAACCAACTAAAGATATAAACAAAAATTAAGTAAGGTCTCAGAAGATATAAAGTTAAACTCCAGTTCAAGAGTTTATAGATAGATCATTAATTGTAAGTACAAGTGATTATTGCCATCATAAGCCAAACTGGGAGGACAATTTTATTATGTATGCTAAAGATTAGGATAGTGTTTGTAAATAGTAAATGCATCAAAGTTCTAAGAAAGTACAGTATGTATCCTTTTTTTTGTTGTTGTTGATTGTGGGACTTGAACTCTGGGCCTGGAACTGACCCTCAGCTCTTCAGCTCTAGGCTAGCACTCTACCACTGAGCCACAGCACCACTTCTGATTTTCTGAGTGGTTTATTGGAGATAAGCGTCTCATGGCCTTCCCTTTTCGGGCTGGCTTTGAACCATATTCTCAGATCTCAGCCTCCAGAGTAATTAGGATTACAGGCATGAGCCACTGGTGTCCAGCTATATACTTTCTTAATGTTTTCATTCTATTTTTATTTTTTTGTTTTTTGGGTCCAGTCGTGGGCCTGAACTCTGGGCCTGGGCGCTGTCCCTCAGCTCAAGGCTAGTGCTCTACCACTTGAGCCACAGCACCACTTCCGGCTTTTTGCTTATGTGGTGCTGAGGAATCGAACCCAGAGCCTCAAGCATGCAAGGCAAGCGCTCTACCACTGAGCCACCTTCCAAGCCCTCATTCTATTTTAAAAGATATTGGTGCTGGTTTTGGGGCTTGATATCAGGGCCTGGGCACTGTCCCTGAGCTTTTTCACTCAAGGTTAGTGCTCTACCACTTGAGTCGCAGCTCCACTTCTAGCTTTTTTAGTGGTTCATTGGAGAAGAATCACAGGTTGGCTTTGCTGAGCCCTGAGATCCTCAGATCTCAGCCTCCTGAACAAATTAGGATTACAGGCTTGAGCCACCAGAATCCAGCTTCACTCAATAAAAATTTTAAAGTCACAAGTAATGATTGTTTCCATCTAACAGAGCTTTTTCTCCAGGATGAGCCAACAGGCTGGTAACTTTTCTTAAAAAAAAAAAAAACCTTTTTAAAACATTGCTTTATTTAGCAAAAGAAAACTCAGAATTTTTAAGACCTCCACATTCCTTTGCTATTCACATCCAAATGCAGTAGTTGCCACTTTTGTCTCCGTGGATTTCCAAAGAATCTACATTTGTAAAAAGCTTATATAGGAAGACAAAAGGGACAGTAATTAAGCTGGAGTCTTTCCAAATCTTTGTCTCTGGGTAGGTGGAGTGCCTTGGCCAGGTCACAGCTTCAGGCTGGGGAACTAAAATTTGCACCGAGAACACAAGAGCATCTAGACCAATCAAGGGCAAATGAGCTATGCTGGCAGGAAAGACATGGGTATTCACAATGCAGTTCTACCCTACAATCAGAGGCTAAGGACACCCATTGCTAGCGTCTTTAGGGACAAAGCAGGTTGCTCGATTGTTGGAAGGATTCTTGCTGTAAGATACTGTGGTGGGCATCTTTAGCTGAGAGTCGACTTTCTCTGTGAGGGTTCAAATCTTTGCAGCCCATCTCATTTATTCTCAATGGGAACCAAACAGTTCTAGAGCTAGGAGACTCTCCATCTTTCATAATCTAACTCCTATTGTAGAGCCCCTCAGCAGTGAGGAATTCCACCTGTTCCCACTAAGATGGACAAAGGTCCTGCCCGGTCTCCCCTCCCCCCTTCTTTCCTCACTGTATTTCCTGAAATACAGGCCATGCAGAGAACTGGCTCACTACTGTAATGTGCAATAATATGTAATTTAAGAAGTGTAAAATAAGTGTCTTTGTGACATTTGTCATCCTCATGGCTCAGCTATTCTATTTCTAATAAAAATAACCAGAACCATACCCTGACTTTTCCCAATTGTAATTTTACTTTGTTTCTAATAATACTCTGGGTTCTTGAGATCTTTCACCTCTGACAATTTCTGTATCTGCCCTAACAGGGCTTGGACTGTCAAAGAGCTGTGGGCACAGCTGGACAGCACAACTGGACTGGGCGGCTGTACTGGATTGGCTGGATTGAAGGGGTTACTCTTGTGGAAAGGCACCGCCCCACATCACGTGGCTAAGCAATATGCCTGTAACCCGGGCTGAAACTTTTCAGAGTTACCAGTGAGCATTTACCATCCGAGAGAACTTCAGCACTTGTGTTACACACGGTTTACACTCCAAACTCACAAGGAATCAGAGAGGCAAGGATGCTTTAAAAATAACCTTCAGTCCCAAGCCCGGAAATCGGTGGACTCTTTGGCAAAGGGAGGTTAACTTGGGTCCCTCAAAATTTAAAAAGGAACGCAATACAACCGGGGGGGGGGAAAGAGAGGAAGAAATTCGTTACCCAAAAAGCCTTCATCAAAATGGACAAGAACTGAGGATGAGAATCGTCGGCTAAATGAGCAAACTAACTTACACAATTTATACTCGGATTAAATAAAACCGTGTTTTGCTTTTTTTTTTTTTAGCTTTTGTTTTCCATTCCCCGGCTACTGAGAGGAATCGTCTATGGGCAGCCAAACCTCATTTATTGTTTTATTTGAAAGAATTTCTGGAGTAAAATGCCTGATTTGGGGACTTGAGTTGGGCAGGCCATCATCAGCCAGTGCCGCCAGCCTCTTGCTCCCGGCAAGCATTCCTTTCCTACGAGTGTTTTGTTTACATTCTGTGGCTTTTCGTTTTCTCCTAAAATTTTATTTATTTTTACCTAGAAGGAGGAAATAGTGTCCGTGTTACATAACCATACTGTAACTCCGTGGTCTGCACACAGGTTACCTCCCCTTCCTACCCTCCCCCCGCCGCCCCTGAACTTAAATAATTCAAAAATAAACACAAAGATTCCCCAAAGCACGGCAGTCCCCGGGGGTTGGGGCTGTGTCTGGACGTGCGGGATCCACACTGAGAGGAAGGGGGTGAGTGGGGATGAACCGGGGTCCGTATGCCAGACACCTCCCAGGGTCAGGGGCTGCCGCGGGTCCTAAGGCCGGTGCACGGTGGGGAACCCAGGAGGGGCTCGGACTCCTCGAACGTGGCTTAAAGCACAACAAAGCAAGCAAACCCCCAACACCTGGAGGCAGCTCGGAGCTCCTCGCCAGGCGGTGGCTGGGAGATCCGCCAGCCGCGCGACGGTCCGGGACACAAAAGTGAGGTTCGGCGCCCGGGAGGGACCCGAGTCCCCCGCGCCCTCCTTCCTTCCCCACCGCCTAACGCTCGGCCGCGGTCCGCCACGTTCGCTGATTTCTTCTTGAGCAAGATCTCGGGGCCGGCGGACACCGGAGCCTCCGACTGCCCGGCTCCGGGGACCGGCAAAGTCCCCCCGGAGGCGGCGAGGGACCCCGACCCTGCCGGAGGAATGAGGCGCCCGGCCCGCGGGCCCGGAAGACGAGCCCCCGACCCCGCTCCCCATGCCCCGTGAGTCCCCCCCCCCAGGCTGCCCGTTCCCCGCGGACCCCGTGACCCCCATCCCGCGGACGCCATGACCTTCCCTCCAGGGCCCCACATCCTCCGCGACCCCCCCCGGCCCTCCGTCCCCCCGCTACCCCCTCAGGCTTCCCATTCCCTGCGGACCCCACGGACCCCCCACCTCCCAACCTTCGCGACATCTCCGGCCCCCGAGATCCCCTCTTGGGCTCCCATCCTTCGCGACCCCCACCCCCAGATTCCCCATCCCGGCCCCTCCACCCCCCAGCGGGGACCCCGACCCGACCCCGCGGCCGCGCCCCTCCCCGCGCACACGCACCTGCGGCCCCGCCCCCGGCCAGATGCCGAGGCGGCGGCGGGCTGGCGAGGTGCGGTCACCTTCCCTTCCCCCGCCATTCCGCCCACCCCCCTCGCTCGACCGCGGAGCAGCCGCCGCGCTCCGCGGCCGCCCCGAAATCTAAAGGGTCCGTCTCCGGCGCCGCAACCAAATGGCCGAGCCTCCCCGTCCGGCAGCGCAGCCCGCCCATTGGGCCCTTCCCCCCGCCGCCGCTGCGGCTATTGGCTGGCTCCCGGAGACCCTCCTCGGCGATTGGCTGACGCTGCTGCCACTCGCGCTCGAAGCCGCAGCTCCCGCCTCCCCGGCGATCAGGTTCGTGTGCGCCGCGGTGCTGGGGGCTCGAGGACCGAGCGGAGCTGGTTGAGCCTTCAAAGTCCTAAAACGCGCGGCCGCGGGTTCGGGGTTTATTGATTGAATTCCGCTGGCGCGGGAGCCTCTGCAGAGAGAGAGAGAAATAGAGCGAGCGAGCGAGCGCGGAAGATGGAGATGGACAAGCGGATTCATTTAGAGCTGCGGAACAGGACGCCCTCGGATGTGAGCATTTGCCAAAAATACCCCTGGCGGCCCATTCTCCGTACTTTGTGTGCGTGTGCGTCGCGGGCGGCACTTTTTATTTTGGAGGGGGCGCCCGGGAGGTGTGGGCTCGGGGGTCGGGCTGCAAATGAATTGCCAAGCCAGTGGGGGAAATCGCCGCGCCGCCGAGCGTGTTCGGCCGCCGCCGCCGCCGCCGCTGCCCTTGGTGTGCGGCTACCTG